CTCCTCCAGATTGTTCATCCAGCCTATCTTATTTAGACAGACCTGCGGAGATAATATCATGCACAAAAACAAGACAGAGCAAAACCAAGCAACAATATACAACAAAACACCACCACCAACAAACCAATGACAAAAAACAAAACAAAACACAACAAGAAAGAAAAGCTTGTAGTTAGTTCAAGGATTGTTTGTTGGTTTTTAGGTGTGTTTTCCAGTCCAGTCTGTTAGGGCACCATGCCCTGGCCCCAAAGTCCACCTTCAGCATTCCCTGGGGACCTCGCTTCTCCATTCTCGCTGTTCTGTTGCACCCCCTTAATGTTTTGCCTCGGTGTGGCGGCATCAAATCGGGTGCTATTCCCACACTATGTCTCTGGTGTTGTCTCCTGTAGGGCTATGGGTCAGTGAGGGGCGTCATGTCTCACAGTGGGGCTGGCCATGTCATGTGGTCCTCTCTGTGGACTGGCTGCTCTTATTGGGATCTTTGTCCTCAAGGCCTGGTGAGCCAGGATGTGCTCCACTCTCTCCTCCTCCCCCTTCATCTGCTCCTGTATGCTCGGAGCACAGAGTTGTGTTTCTGGAGAAGAGCTGATCACAAATGGAGTTGTGGGGGGGGCGGGGCGGGGGAGGCACAACCCTCAAATAACTAAAACCCACTGCCATGAAGTCTATTCTGACTCGTGGAGACCTGACATTGGGTTTCAGAGACTGCCGATGTTCCTCAGGCAGCCTCAGCTTTCTCCCATGGGGCAGCTGGTGGGTTTCAGCTGACGACTTTGCTGTCAGCGGTGCCATGCCTAACCCATGGCTCCACTAGGGCTCCGCAAACAACAAACCACACCAAGAGCGAACAAACGGCACTTTCCAGATGCTCCATTGTCACTGGCAGCACACAGAAAAGACTAATCACACAAAGTATAATGGATTCAATCTGACGGCAAGTTGGCTACATGGGAGTTGAGGACTGTCATGCCCATGGGAGAAGCTTTGTGAGTTTTCACATCTTGTTAACAAATAATTAGTTGTTGTTAGTTGCCTTTGACTCAGTTTTCCAACTCATAGCGACCCGCCATCCTAAGTCGTTCCTGTGCTTGGGCCCATTGTTGCAGCCGCCGTGGCACTCCATCTCCTTGACGGTCTTACTTAGTGCATCTTAACTACATGTCACCCCTGAAAGAGCTCTGGTGGTGTAGTGGTTACACACTGGGATACTGTCCACAAAGTCAGCAGTTCGAAACCACCAGCTGCTCCTCGAGAAAGATGGAGCTTTCTACTCCTATAAAGAGTTACAGTCCTAAAACCCACAGGGGCAGTTCTACCCTGTCCTGTAAGGTTGCTGTGAGCCACAGTGGCCACAATGGCAGTGAGGTAGCACCTGCCCCAATTGATAAGCTTGGATTGGGGGGCAGGGGGTTTCAAATGCTTATGAATACAGTGAACCCTCGTTTATCGCGGTTAATCAGTTCTAGACCCTACCGTGATAAATGAAATTCCGCGAAGTAGGATTCCTTATTTGTAAATCAAATATTTTCGTAGT